ACATCAGTTGCAAGGTGTCAGTACTCTCCCCATTTCCACCATGTATTAATCTGATTTCCTTGTCTATCCCTGCCTTCTCATCTTTGTTTTGGGGCAAATATTGCCCTTTTGGTCTCATACAGCTGGTTGTTCTACGGAGCACCTTCCTTGCGGGTGTTATTGTTTATTTTATAGACCCATATATTATTTGGTTGAGAGGTGGCTCTAGGAGTAGCTTCAGTTCCATTTTGGAAATGTGACATACGGCAGTAGTTTCAGGGGTTCCTCTGTTGCTGTTAGGTGTTGTCGAGTCACCTCCAACTCATAGCCAGCCCTATGTACAATAGAACAAAACACTGCCTTCTCCTGCGCCAGCCTCACAATCCTTGCTACACCTGAGCCCATCACTGCAGCCACTATGTCAATCCATCTCATTAAGGGCCTTCCCCTTTTTCACTGACCCTCCACTTTACCAAGCATATATCCTTCTCCAGGGAATGATCCCTTCTGACAACATAACCAAAGTAGATAGGACAGTGAAGAAAACCAAAAACTAAAGGAAGTAGGTGAAATGAAGTCTGGCCATTCTCACTTTCAAGGAGCATTCTAGCTGCACTTCTCCCAGGACAGATTTGTTAGTTCTGGCAATCTATGGTACTTTCAGTATTCTTTGCCAACACCACAACTCAAAAGCATCAGCTCTACTTCGGTCTTCCTTATTCGTTGTCCAACTTTCACATGCACATGAGGTGAAAGAAAACATCACAGCTTGGGTTAGGTGCACACCTCAGTCTTCAAAGAGACATCTTTGCTCTTCAGCACTTTAGAGAGGTCTTTTGCAGCAGATTTGCCCAGTGCAATGTCGTCTGACTTCTTGACTGCTGCTTCCATTGATGTTGACTGTGGAACGAAGTAATATGGCTTCTTCTAGTCTCTATCAGGGAGCTCTGGTCACGCAGTGCCTAAGACATTTGACTGCTAATCAGAAGACTGGCAGTTCAAACCCACCAGCCACTCTTCAGAAGGAAGGTTGAGCAATCTACTTCCACAGTGATACTGCCTCGGAAACCCAAGGAGGGGTCACTATAACTCAGATCTGACTCAACAGCAGTGAGTTTGGTTTTTGGAGTCTATCAAACCAGTAAGTCTGGTCTTTTTCATGAATTTGAATTGTTTTACACTTTTCTCCCATTCTAACCAGGACCTTCTATTGTGTCCTTGGTCGGAACAGTGGTAGTGGTAGCCAGGCACCATCTAGTTCTTCTAGTCTTATGCTAGAGGAAGCTGTCCTTCATGTAAGCCATTAGTTCTCTGGACTAATTGCTTCCTTTAGTCTTTGGCTTTCTGCACTGTCCTTTACTTCAGGGAAGAAGAGACTAATAGTTGTACCTTAGATGGCCACTCACAAACTGTTATAATCTCAGACACTACTTGCCAAACTAGGATGGAGAGCATGGTCTTTATGTTCTGTGTTATGCCAATGATCTAGATGTCCCCTGAAAGTACTTACTGTCACTGCCATCAATTCGATTGCAACTCATAGTGACCCCTTCTTAGGTTTCTGAGGCAGTATCTCTACGGAAATAGACTGCCCAGTCTTCCTTTCGAGGAGTGGCTGGTGGGTTTGAACCGCCAGCCTTCTGGTTAGCAGTCAGATGCCTTAGGCACTACACCACTAGAGTACAGTCCTTAGCATTCAGGCCCAGTAGCTCAGTCCTATGAGGTGTTCAGTTATATCTAAGACGTTTTCACAGCTGTGCCCCTTAGTGCTTTATTATATATATGAATATATACAGCACATATAAATAGGTATGTACAAAAACCCACACCAGGATGATCCTTTACACATGGTAAACTTGTCCTCTTTCATCCAGACACAGTTCAAATTTCAGTAGCTCAAATCCTACCCTTCTATAAAATCTTTTCTAGTTCCCCAAGGTTTATTTCATTACTCATTATTCCTTCCTCAGTGTTCTACAGCACTTTGTTTATGTCTCTATTATAGTACTTATTAAACTATTATAACTACCTATTTTATTCACTTTTGTATCTCCCAACTGTGCCAATGTACTGTTTGACACATCCTATACCCTCAATAATTGTTAAGGAAATGACTAAGTTCTACCTCCCACCTTATTGTGAGCATCTGTGTGCCGGATGACATTCCTCAGGAGGACTTTCCCCAATGGAACCCGGGACATTCTTCAATCTGAAATGAATCAATAAGTAATATTTAATATTTTATTTATTATTTTTTATTAAAATTTTATAAAGAAGCATGAGGTTAAAATCACTGAACTAGGAGTCAGAAGTTCTGAGTAATAGTTTTTCTTTCACCATCAAAAGGGGAAAATGCCTGACCACACTCATGTGAGGATGAAAGGAGATTGTTAGAATTCTTGGAAACTGCACAAGACTGTACAAAAATAAGTCCTTTCACGGGCATCATTTCATTAATCCTCACAACTCTTGTTTTTTATGAGGCAAGCGTCTTCATCCCTGTTTTATAGATGAACCAAAAAAAACCAAACTCACTGCCATCGAATCAATTCCGACTCATAACGACCCCCACTGGGTTTCAAAGTCGTTAAATCTTTACAGAAGTAGATCGCCCCATCTTTTTTCCGCGGAGCGGCTGGTGGGTTTGAACCCCCAACATTCTGGTTATTTGTCACTTAGGCCTTGTGCCACCAGAGCTCCTTTATAGATGATGTTCCCTTAAAGCTAAACTTGCCCCAGGCCACAAGTCACAGGCAAACAAAATAAGTCAATGTCCACATTAGAAAACAACTCTCAAATCAAAAAACTTGTTTGCGATGACGCAAATACCTAGATTTTGAGAGTGTCAGTGACCACTAATGTGAACTATAACAAAAACTAAAGCCTAAAAACATCAGATGCAGAGGGAATCTAAATTTCTCTGAACAGGAGCATTTATTCCCTATTTTGTAAAGAAGCCTCCAAAAACTAGTTGACAAGGATATTCACGTAAGCACTATAAGGGGCGTTGTGCCAACCACCCCACCACTCACTCACCCCTCGATCCTGAGGAAATCAGGCATCTTGTTAGTGTGAGACGAAGAACCACTCCATTACAAGATCTCCTCCGACTCAGGAAGCCAAGGAGTCGGGGCTCAAAGGCAGCTCTGCAGCTTCACCCGAGTCCTTCGTGAAAACGCAGCCTTCCCACCGGTTATTCTGACCTCACCCGTGGCCCAGGCCACGGCAGCCTTTCCCCCAGCCCAGACCAACAGGCAGAGGGCAGATCTCCCTCCTGGACTGAGGCCCGAGGCTGCGCCGGCGCGGAATCCCGACGGGGCCCCGTTGGCGGGGGCATTCGCCACTCAAGCTCCGCTGGGATGGGGCCCAGGGGTGGGGTTTCGCTCCCCAGAAAGAATGGGGGCACTCTGGAAGCGCCAGACCTTTTGGCCGGGCCCCAGGCAGTGTCTAGGGTGTCTGAAGCGGGGGTTGAGGTCTGAGAGGCGAAGGCAGAGAATATACTCCCATCTTTGTCACCCAGATCCCTGCCCCTCTGCGGCCTCGGAGTTTTTGGTAACGTTCCCTCCAAACGCCCTCCCCACACAAATACACACAAACACACCCATACCGTGCGCCGCAGCCTCGCGTGGCGGGGGTAAGGGGAGGAGGCGATCTAAGAGAAAAAGGAGGCGGCTTCCCTTTCACGCCGGAAGTCGTGCTCCTGACAAATTCTTCCCAACAACTGGAGACCCAAAGTCTCCCACAGAGAGGGTTTCCAAGACGCTCCAGAGATAAACCAGTGCCGATGGGAGGCAGGCACGTTCCTGGAAAAGAAGTGGGTCGGGCCCAGCTGAAAAGGAAGTCCAGCACGGGAGAAGGGAAATTTCGGAGATGCATGTAAAAAGAACTTCTGCGTGAAGCTGTCCGGACCCAATTAAACGTTGCACCCAGTCGTTACCCTGGTAACTGGCGTCGCGGTTTGTCTGGAAACCGAGAGAAGAGGTGGTGGGTTCATGAATCTTTGCAATTATTGTCAGTTACTTAAATTTCCTATTTAGTCTAACCTTAATATAGCACAGTATTGGAATAATACCAACCTCCCCTTTTCCTTATTCATTGGAGAGTGTGGAACATCACTCCAGTGGGAGCGGGGCGGTTGAGGGGGTGGGGTAGGTAACCCCAAAATATCAAAATCAAAACCAAACTCACTGCCATCCAGTTGATGCTGAATCATAGCGACCTCCATTGCATTTCCAAGGCTGTAAATCTTTATGGAAGCAGACTACCTCATCTTTGTTCTGCAGGGCAGCTGGTGGGTTCAAACCACGCAACTTTTGGTTAGCAGCCAAATGCCTTAACCACTACACCACCAGAGCTCCTTACCCAAGATATAGAGAGGATATTATTACTCTCATGTAGTGTTTATGAAGCATTCCAATCTCTTTGTTTATATTAACTTACTTAATCCTCACAATAACCCTTTATGAAAGGTGTTATAGTTTTCAGGAAAATAAACTGAGGCACATACATCAATTAACTGCTCAAGGCCACATAGTTACTCATAGAATTAAGATTAGAAGGTAGGTATTCTAATTCCAAAGGCTATGCTTTTAACTATTAAATTATAGTATGACTTGAGGAAATGAAATTTCATGTGAACCTCACCCCACACACATTGCAAGACTAGGGAGGCCTCAATCAACCAATACTGGGTTATTGGAACAAGAAAACCACTAGGCACTAGGCTGAAAATGATTGCTCAGCCTTGTATGTACTTGAGGTTTTAGGGAGTGGTAAGGCCTGATTTGAGAGGACAACTTGAGAATTTAGGAAGGTGTGTTAGATAATTGGAGAATAAAGAAAAGGTACAATGTTGCTGATCCACAATCTTTGAGTCACAGTGTTAAGATTTCACTAAAGGACTTCCTTACCAGTTCCTCCTCCTCCGAAAGAAGAAATGAATCAATAGCCACACAGATTTTTTCCCTCCTTTTAGTCTTGTCTTTTCATAGGTTTAAGAGGCCCATTCACCATTATCAATCATGGAAGAATCTTCAAAGGGTCTTCTCACCCAAGTTACTCAATTCTGGAACCTCCTGGATGATCTGGCTGAAAGTGACCCTGAGCGCTATGAGAATTTCATTCAACAGCAGCTGAAAGAGGGGAAACAGCTCTTTGCCACCCCAGAACCACAGTTCTGTCTACAGACTAGGATCCTGGTGTGTATAGTTGGACCCAGGGATGGGGAGGTCATGGATGAAATGCTCTCAGAATAACCAAAGATTAGCTTACTCTTAGCTCTAGCTATTTTAACACAGGAAAACTTGTCATTTTAGATAGAAAATGAAAAGTAGTATGGAAGATTATGTTGAAGGAGTAAATGTGGGAAAGTCATATTTAATATATTTTAGTGATCTCAAAAATGAACCATTTTTGTGAACCTGGAGGACATTATGCTGAATGAAATAGGTCAGTCACAGAAGGACAAATATTATATTAGTCCATTATTGTAAAAAGTCAAGGAAAAGTTTATGTATGGAAGGAAATTTTCTTTGTTGGTTACCAGGGGTGGGAGGGGAGGTGGGGGGGGGAACACTGTTAGACAGGTAGAGACAAGGGATTGAGGAAGAGGAAAACAGAGAGAGGTATGTGGGAGGTACAGACAGCAAAGCTGAACCCTTTTGCACATACAGTACTGGATTGTCATTGAAGGCAAACATTGATATATAAGCAGATATATAGGTGGATAGACTGAACTATTAGGTATGTCCATGCAGGAGGGAGTGTGCCCAAGACCATGTATAGGATTGGCAGATAATGTTTCTACAAGTGTATTTGTATGTTCTATAAGAATTCCTAGGTATATAGTAGAGCTGACAAGGGACAAGATTGTGGTCACTTCTTGGCCACAGCCAGCTACCTGGAGGGAGCGAATAGTTGGACCTGTGGGTTCAGGACCATAGTCACAAGGGACATCAAGCTCAACTGGCATAATATACTACACAAAAACATTGTTCCACATCCTACTTTGGCAAGTAGCGACTGGGATCTTAAAAGCTTTCAAATGGCCCTCTAGATGCAGTGATGGGTCTCTCCTCATCCAGAGCAAAGAAGAATGAAGAAAACCAAAGATTCATGGAAACAATTAGTCCAAGTGACTGGTACATCAAGTGTTCCACAACCCATATGACTATGAGACCAGAAAAACTAGATGGTGCCCAGCTACCACTGTCAACCACTCAGAGAGGGATCTATGTAGGAGATCCTGGATAGAGTGGGAGAACAATGTGGAACAAAACTCAAAATCATTTAAAAAAAAAAAAAAAGACCAGGTTTGCTGGTCTGATAGAGCCTGATGGAACCACTGAGACTATGGCCCCTAGCTGCCTTTCAGGTCTGGATTTGAACACACTCCTGTGGCTTCCAGCCAAACAAAAGACAGGTATATGAGCTGAATATGTACAATAGATAAATACATTCCTTGGAGAGATCAAATGTGTATGCATAGGGAGACAGCTGGGGGTGGGTAGGAGTGCATGAGAGGGAAGGACACAGGGAAGAGGTAACTGGGAGGAAGTGGGAGGGGAGCTGTTGTATTGTGGTAAATTGTAGTCTGAGATAAAGTGTATGTGAGCTGCTGTATGGAAAGTGAGTTTGCTCTGTGAACTTTCACCCAAATCACAATAAATAAATAAATAAATAAATAAAAGAACCATTTTTTTTCTGCTAGAATAAAAAGAAATGTAATCAGTTAGTAGAGAATCACATGGTTGGAGCTTTTTCAAATAAAGTTAACTTATTTGGCTTAGGAGGATAACCAAAGCAATCGTAGAGGACAGAGTTGAACTGCTGCCATAGGATTTCCAAGGCTAAAATTGTTAAGGAAGCAGACTGCCACATCTTTCTCCTGTGGACTGATTTTTTGGTTAGCAGCTGAGCACTTTAACCCCTGGTGCCACCAGGGCTCCTTCCAACCAACCAAAACCAAACACTGCCATTGAGTCAGACCTGACTCACAGTGACCCCTCCTTGGGTTTCCGAGGCAGTACCACTACAGATGTAGATTGCCCAACCTTCCTTCCAAGGAGTAGCTGGTGGGTTTGAACCACCAGCCTTCTGGTTAGCAGTCAAATGCCTTAGACACTATGCCACCAGAGCTCCCACCCAGTGCCATGGAATTGATTCCAACTCATAGCGACCCTCAGGAGGTTTCCAAAGCTGTAAAACTTTACAAAAGTAGATTGTTTCATCTTCCACCCATGGAGTGGTTGGTTGGTTCATACTGCCTACCTTTTTAGTTAGCAGCCTAATGCTTTAACCACAGTGCTACCAAAGCTCCTTTTAGGAGAGTAAGGAGTGGTGAGATAGGTGATTAAGCAAAGTTACCTGGAACAACTGCTTAGATCAATTCCTCTTCCCTCTCCCTCCGCCCAGTTCCCTCCTAGTACAGCAACTGAATTCTTGATGAAAAGATGGCACCTTTAGAGAAATCAAGTAGAAAGAGTAGAATTTATTAGAAGCAGTCCAAAATAATAATAAATTTAAAAAGTTTTAATACATGAAATTACTTGGGTCCTAAAATTCCCCTTCCAACGCTGTGATGAGTTGCCTTTAGGATAATATTTAAAAATGAACTGTTTTTGGTATATGCAAAATTATTTGTTTTCTAGAAACCAAGAGAAAAAACACTTTTCATTAACGTATGTCAGTGGAAAAGGATCCCAGCTCCCCAGTCAGCGACTCACCCTGTACCCATACGTGTTGGCAGGCCAGAAGATATTTCTGAGACATCAGGTACACAGAATTACGGGAAAGAAAGCATGTTTAAAAATTTGTATTGCATGGATCAGGTTTTACTTGGTAAAAGATAGTCTAAGTAAAATATCTTATTTGGTAATGAGATCGTTAATGACAAATTGGTGTCCCTTTATGCAAATTGGGAGCTCTGGTGGCATAATGCCTAAGGTATTTGACTGCTAACCAGAAGGCTGGTGGTTCAAACCCACCAGCCACTCTTCCAAAAGAAGATTGGGCGATCTACTTCTGTAGTAATACTGCCTCAGAAACCCAAGGAGGGTTTGCTATGAGTCAGATTCGACTTGATGGCAGTGAGTTTGGTTTTTTTGGTTTTATGCAAATTGAATACTTTTTAGTTTTGCTATCAGTATGAGCTATTTTTAACCATATAAAAATGCCGAAAAATGGACTAGTTGTAATATTTGTATATAGCGCCATTATGATTGCCTCTGAAGATATATAGGGATGCAGTTTATACTTTCTATCTTTATCAGGATTATGGTTTAATATTTTACTTGACAATATCATTAGTGAAACAAGGTAAAGTTGTCTTCATTTCATACCTTCTCACCCTCTGAATTACACTTACAGGTGTTTACACAGTCATTGATGTTGCCTACCATTCTGACGTTCTCCAGGCAGCAGAAAAGGACCAAGTGAAAAAAGATCAGTTGATACGGATGACTATGACATGTATTGAGGAGCGACTCCAATTCACTCTCTCACACTCCTACCATATTGCAAAACTTAAAATAAAAGGAAGCATTCAAAAGATGAAACAGAATCTCATGGGAATCCAGAATGACTTCACAGATTTAAAAGAGAAAGTGAAGAAGGGTAAGTTGATAAATGGAAAGGGAAAATTAAACTAAAGCATCTCGTGTACATTTTGCAAATTAGAAGTTTCACTTTTAAAAGATAAAAGACTTAAGATTGGCAAATATGAAGATTAGATACCAGAAATGTTAGAATATCCTAAAACTTTTTCAAAATACTGCAGACTTTTAAACCAAATTCTTTGGTTTAAGATTCCCTTGACTTAAGAGTCTCAAACTATTACGGGGTACTGAGTTTCAGTTTATGGTGGTGGAAAATTCACATTAATTAAGGGTAGGATTGATTGCACAGTTGATTAACATAATTACTCTCAATAAGTTGTACACCTGTAGAAAGTTGAATTAGCAAAAGTTGTGTGATATATTTAAAAAAAAATGCTACTGACATGCTTATTTACAACCAAATACCTCATGGGATTTGTTTCCTTGCATTGGAGGTTTAGGGTCATGGTTTCATGGAACATCCCGGTTAATTGGCCTAATAAAGTGTTTAGTGCTTCTGTTCTACCTCCTTTTTCCTGAGATCTTCAAAGCTTGCAAGTGGCCATCCAAGGCACAACAGTTGGTCTCTACTCGTCTGGAGTAACAGAAGTAGGAGAGTCAGAAATAGGAGGAGAATATGGCATATGTAGTAATTGCCTCTGTGAACAACTGCCTCCTTTGCCATGAGACCAGAAGAACTGGATGGCTACTGTGGTAGTTACATTTGTGTGTCATCTTGGCTGGGCCTGGTTGAGTGGCTGGGCAGCTGAATGTAGTTATTCCCATGCTAAGATTGGTAATTAACTCCATGGTGGAATCTATTGGAGCAGCTGAGTAGCTGCTTTGGATTTGTGGTCTGCTTTCAGTATATAAGAAACAGCTTTGGGAATGGTCTCTAGCTTATGGCACACTTGAACCCTCCATGTAACCCTGTTGATGTTCAGCAGCCTGCCATGCTCTGCCAACCTTGGGACTTTCAATGGACTTGAGTCAATGGCCTGCCATGTGGTTTGGTAACATCAGGACTATGCCATTTTATATGTTGACCTTGGGCTTGTAGCCAGTAGCTGCCTGAGTGAAGAGATGCCTCTAGCTTCAGTGGGCCGGGAGCAAGAGGTAGAACTGAAGCCCAAGGTCAAGGGGCTTTCACACAGCCCCTAGAGCCTGACACTTGGAACACAGACTTCTAGCCTCCTGAACTATAAGAGAATAAACTCCTGTTTGTTCAAGCTATCCCATTTGTGATATATTCTTGTCAGAGTGGCACTAGGTAACCAAAACAGCTACCATTACTGAACATTTTGATCAAAGATTCCATAGAAGAATCATGATTAAAAGGGGGAAATGCAGAACAGAATTTCAAATTTTCATAGATCCAGATTTTCTGCAGCCATGGAGGCTGGATGAACCCCTGAAACTTGCCCTAAGATCATCTTTAAACTTTAAGCCAAAAATATCCCCTGAAGTGTTCTTAAAACCCAAGAGTAGTTTAGCTTAAATGGTACATTTGGGAGCTCTGGTGGCATAGTGCCTAAGTCATTTGACTGCTAACCAGAAGGCTGGTGGTCCAAACCCACCAGCCACTCCTCGGAAGGAAGTTTGGGCAATCTACTTCGTAGAGATACCACCTTGGAATCCCAAGGAGGGGTCACTATGAGTTGGATCTGACTCGATGGCAGTGAGTTTGGTGGGTTTTTTTTTTTTTAGTACATTTAAGATCTATGTATAGGGATCAAACTAACAATAGCAACTGGAAAGATTAGATAGGAAAATAAGGGGCAGTGTGCTTATTTTAATGGGGGAGAAACAGAGTGAGAATGGTTGCATAATTTGCAGAATGTAATCAATGTCACTGAATTATAGAAACTGTTGAATTGGTATATGTTCTGCTGTGTATATTCTCAACAACAAAAAGAAAAAAAAATTCCCAAACTAATATAGCTGCAGCTTTCTTTGCCACCTTGGCTAATATTGCATACAGGTATACATAGTTCATAGCCTGATAGATTTTGAAATTTTATCTCCCCTTTTTTTTGTTTTTCCTCATAAAGAACTAACCCTTGAACAGATAAGAAACAGTACTGTAAGCAGTCCAGATCACTTTCCTCTGCTTACACTGCCAAACGGCCAAAGTTCAGACAAAGCAGGGTGTCTGATTGAGGAAATTTGCAGTACTGAGACCCAGGTGGAGATGAAGACCCCAACCTATGAATTAAAAACTGTGAAGGATCAGAATGAGAAACCTCTGATAATTGAACTGACAGTGGAGTTACCTGGTATTCATTCAGTCTCTCTCTGTGACCTTAGTGTGTCTGAGGTAAGTTGAACACATGTTGTTTGTCAGCACTCACTATACTATGCTCTAATAAGAAAAAAACAAACAAAAAAACCCATTGTTGTAGAGTCAGTTCTGACTCATGATAACCCCATGTATTATAGAGTAGAACTGTTCCATAGGATTTTCTTGGCTTTAATCTTTATGGAAGCAGAACATTGGGCTTTTCTTGGTACTACTGAGTGGGTTTGAACCACCACTAACCATTTGTGCTACTCAGGTATATGTATATACCAAATTTAAATTTTTATGACAGTTATTTTTTATTCCCCAATCAGTGTCTGAATCCTAGAGCAAGGAGCCTGTAAGCAGCAGAAACTGTTTTTCATTAGTACTTTTGAGTAGCAACTCCAAAATCTTCCAAAGCTTCTAAGTTTGCTCAGGTTACATGTCTGCCACAGGACGTTTCTGTTCCATAAGTCTTATGTATTTTAAGATCCACAGAAAGAAGCAGTTCCTATCAGATATGCCATTCTCATGGCAGAGGGACAACAGAAATGGCTGAACCATGCAATGGATTCTAAAACTCGAACACAACACATATCACTTCAACTCACATTCCATTGGCCAAAGTAGGAAGTCATATAACCACATCCTACATCAAATAAGCCTGGGAAGTATATGCTTCTCACAGGAAGTCACATGGCAGGGATGTATAATCCTCTTACAAGAGTCGGAAAGAGTAATTGGGAACAACACTGTAATACATCACAGTCCATTCTGTTAGTCACAAATATTTCTTTTCCCAAGGACAACACCTTCAATCCAGAGGTAACTTCAAAATATAGGATGTTGCCTTAATGGTCTGCATTCTGCTTCTCTTGAGCCACAGACCTTTGAACCACCAAGACAAGTACTGTAATCTATTTCCCCAGCCCCCATCACCATACATGAAGAACAAGGAGAGGATAACCACAATAAATAGTCTCAAGAAATAGTAAAAAATATGAGGCATGTAGCAATTACTGGTACACAGCAGTTCTGAAAGCCTGGCAGGTAGATATTGCTATGGCCTCTGGAAGTAGGGAATGTTCATGCTTAGGTCCCTTGGCAAGGTTACTCAATTACTTAGCTCCCTGGTTTCTTTGTTCTCCATGACCTTCAGATCCATTTTGGGGGAATGTTTTCCTTTTTTCATTATCTTCTTGGGTCACATCTGATAGCATTGGGGAATAGGCCATCCTTAGACGCTCAACAGATTTGTTTTTTTTCTGGTTGAGGTTGCTTTAAATTTTAAAATCAGGAAAACCAATGTGTTCTGTTAACTTTCACCCAAATCCCAATAAAAAGTTGAAAAAAGAATTTTTTTTCAAGTCAGATTCCTTTAATCCAGGCTGAGATTATTTTATTGGTTTGATTCAGTCAGTGCTACACCCTAGAAGTTTTTTTTAGACATGCCTATTTTTCAAGATTTATTCCTCAATTGTGTCATTTTGACCAAATGAAGGGATTTACTAAGGTCCACCTTAATCCATTCAGAGGTTTTAACAAAGGGTTACATAAAGGCATCTGTGGTTTAGTCTCTGCCTCTAGATTGCCTTGATCAGACTTTGTTGATCAAATAATTTCCATTTTATCCAGGGCTTGGAATGGAATAGGTTTGACCCTCTGCTGAGAATTTGCATTTCCACCTCAGATATACTGAATCAGAACCTACAGTTTAACAAGATCCTCAGGTGATTATAATAATCATAAGGATCTTGTTAAAATGTTGATTCTAATTCAGTATATCTGAGGTGGATATGCAAATTCTCTGCAAGGGGTCCAACCAGAATGAACCGGTTCAAAGCCCTAGTTTTATCTTTACCGTTAAAAAGGGAGCTCTGGTGGTGTAGTGCCTAAGGCATTTGACTGCTAACCAGAAGTCAGATTCAAACCCACCAGCCACTCCTTGGAGAGAAGACTGGGCAATCTACTTCCCTAGAGATACAGCCTTGGAAACCCAAGGAGTGTTAGCTCTAGGCTTTGAATCAACTCAACAGCACTGAGTTTAGTTAAAAATTAATTTCATTTTTCAGTCCTCAAGACTTAGAATTTCTGGGCTCTGTATGCTCCCTTTCAGTTCTAACTGCAAACAAGGCAATTCTTTTCTAAGTGTATTTTGTGATACCTTGTTAAATGCAGCTAACAAAATAACCCAACCAACATTCGTTTCCTTTTTATTTACTTAAAGTCAGAAATTATTTGCCTTCCAAATGATTGTGCGTTTTACTAAGTGTTTGATCACTACACAGGTAATGATCACTTTCCAGTCTCCAGTAATTTTTTGTGCTGCTTGCTGCTCAACAAAAACTAACCTCAAATTGCTCGTTAGAAGCCACACAGCAATAAGTAGGATCGTCTTATGAAAGAGAAATGAATTACTTGGGACAGTAATCTAACAAAATTTAACCAGGGACTATTTTTCCATTTTCATCTTTTAAAATCCCTCTTGGTTTATTCTTAGGATGATTTATTGATCGAGGCCTCTGAGAAGTACAGATTACATCTGAATCTTCCGGAATCCATCGATACTCAAATGACTACAGCAAAATTTTTCAAAGAAAAAGCTACCTTAATCATCACAATGCCATTGCTGTTCAGACAAGAGCATCTTGTGTTGTAGGTTTTCAGAGCTAAGGGCATTTGCATTATAGTAACTTCATTATAGGTAAAGAGGTAGTGGCTTATCTTAAACACTACTTTTATATTTCCCAAGAATTTCTTTTGAAATGAGATTTTCCTCTTCAGTTATATCCTTTTTACTCTTTCTCCTTCTCAAGTAGACTTGGCATCAACTAGAAGCTACGAAGTATGATACTGCCATGATGTACCTGTTTTGAAGATACATATAATGGTCTGAAGTAACTTAAATATCGTTTGAAAAATACTGTTTGTTTTTAAGTGACATGAGAAGATGCCGCATTTACTAGTTGAAAGTTTTATTATTTTTTTTATTTTGAAGTCTGTAGTAAATCTTTTCATCAGGAAAAAAAAAAAAATCTCAGACCATGCAAGAAGTTTTTTATTACCAGGATGGGATTAACTAACATTGGAAGTCTCCCAAGCAATAAAAGTACAGGCCAATGTATATTTATTCAAACCAGTGTTTCTCTGAACCTCTGTACTTCTATAAAACAGCTCTGCCAGGAGTCCAAGATACCCAGCCAGAGGTTTTCATATCAGATACAGCATTGTCTGCAGATTAGACTACAAAGATACAGTAACTGGCTGTTATTGCACATAAGATGCAAAATATATCTATCTATGAGTGAGGAAAATGAGTTGATTTGGGGGATCATCTGCTAAGAAAACGATCAAAAGGACAGAAGTGACATGCTTTTCAACTCCCATTTATCTAAGTTATCATCAAAGGAATGCTCAGTACAAAGGACCAACTTTCCTACTCACATCCAGAAAAAACAATACACACATTAAACTTTAAGCATCTATCACCTTTCCCAGATACAAAATAGCTCTGTTGTAATGGCTAGTTTCTAATGCAAAATAAGGTTTTTTACAAATCCTTATTTAAAATTCCTGTAAAACTTTAGAAACTAATATTGTATGTGTAATACACATAATTTGTGTGACATTTAAAATCAAATGGAATTTTCTTAAACATGGTCTGAATTTGAATTCTAATAGTTTGATTTACCTTCTGGAAATTTTCAAATCTGTAGGTCCTAAAATTAACAAAGCCATTATACTCCCCTTGTTGTTAGTTAACCATTGCATCAGTTCCAACCCATGGTGACCTTATCTGTATGTAGCACTTGTTCCACAGGGTTTCAAGGCTGTGACCTTTAGGAAGCAGATCACCAGGACTTTGTTCCAAGGACCCTCAGGGTGAGTTCAAACCACCACCCTTTCAGTTAGTAATCAAGCTAATTCACTGGCTGTACTACACAGGCACCTATGTTGTTGTTGTTGTTATTTGCCGTCAAGTTAAGTCGGCCGACTCATAGCGACCCCTCCTTGGGTTTCCAAGGCAGTTATCACTACGGAAGTAGGATTGCCCAACCTTCCTTCCGAGGAGTGGCTGGTGGGTTTGAACCGCCAGCCTTCTGGTTAGCAGTCAAGTGCCTTAGGCACTACGCTACCAGAGCTCCTACAGGCACCTATAGTCTCCTTAAAATACAAACCACCACCACCACCACCAAACCCACTACCGAGGAGTCTAATTTGACTTACAGTCACCGTATAGAGTAGAACTACCCTTAAGGATGGTCTCTTTGTTGTTGTTGTTATGTGCTGTCGAGTCAGACCTGACTCATAGTGATCCCTCCTTGGGTTACTGAGGCGGTATCACTACGGAAGTAGATTGCCCAACCTTCCTTCCGAGGAGTGGCTGGTGGCTTTGAACCTCCAGCCTTCTGATTAGCAGTCAAGTGCTTTAGGTACTACGCTACCAGAGCTCCTCATGGTCTTTTTACATGATCTCTTCACTGTTGTCTAAAACAAAAGCTTGGAATGCCTTCACCCTGTGTTTTCTACAAAATCATGGCCAAATGTATCTCCTAAAAACTTTCCCTATCTAACCAAATGGAACTGATGGAAGCTCTATTCTTGCACTCTAAGCACTTACTTACATGTTGATGTCAGTATCTTGCTGTCTGTGTACTCATTAATAAAACACGTAAACAGACCCAACTTGATGATTAATGTTACAATATTATATTTTGTTGTTTTCAGGTGCTATTACATTCCAGTTATTCTCCAAGATAATTTCATTCATATTACTTCCATGTATTTTATATATTCATAAAATCATCTCTCACTTCCCCCTCCCTGAAAAAAGCCAAATTCTACCCAGGAAGGGTATTAATAATGAAATGCAGACTGGTTTAAATTTGAATTTTACATTTTTCTTCCTCAAAAATGGAAATTATTTGAAATAGATATTAATAGTACCCTTGATATAAACTGGCTATATCCACAAAGTTGGTTTTAAAGAAATTATCACTAGTGATGATTTCCCTATATATTCTAGGATCTGGACATTCTTATACATTACTCAGTGATGACTAATCCTTTGCAATACAGTCCTGTAATCTCTCACATTTTCGTCAATTGCTTTTATAGACCATGTTTTGGGATCCCCAATTTCATACTTAGAAAGCTCAGAACTGGAGTAAAATATCTAAAAGAGCCAGACCACACTTTCATCTTGCTAATATGTACCACAGTCCAACATGAAGTGCTTCAGGTAATTCCTTGATATTTAAGTGTTAAGATTACATCTTCATAAACTCAGTCCTTATTTTACCAGTTCTGTAAACTCAGAATTTATCTGTATTGATGGTTAGTCTCTATTGAGAGCCTGTAAGTATATAATTGTCCCTGGATCTTAATCGTTCAATGTGATAAATTATTTCCAACAGATCAAAAATTAGACCAGATATGTTGAAAACATATAGTTTAATTTTTTAATAGTAAAATTGGAGCCCAAAACACTTTCTAGCCTTTTGTCTCAGTCCTGGTAACAGAAATATCTGGGTTTAGATTACAACTCAGATTTTTAACTCAGAACAATTCTTTTTTTAATTGAGAGCTGGTTTTCATTTTTCTTTCAAGGGAACAATAAAGCAATAAGCATAAACAAAGAATTAATTAACCCTGAAGTTTCTTATGTTTGAACTAGATTTGGCTCATAAAGATGATGGTCCCTTGTGATGGATAAGCTTGTTCCTTCTACGTAATCTTCAGTTCAAGCCAAAATTACTAATTACTACAATAAGATTAGTGTATTGTTTTTATAATAGTACAGTAAGGTGAATATTTGTGGAATATATGGAGTGTCACTTGTACTTGTGCACCATGTAATAATGAACATTTAGAAATAGTTTCAACACTGAAAAACTTAGAATAAATGTCAGGGCTAGCTACACATTATTACATATACAAGGCAGCACTGGTCAGATTTATTTTAAATAGTTATAAACAATCCCAGACATTTATTAAAACTCATCAATTCAACAGAAAGTCTGGAATTGTGATAATGTTCCAGTTAATTTTTATTATCTTGAATATCATCCCCTTCTTTCCCACAAAGGAAAGGTAGATAATAACAAAATGGAAAAAAGTAAGCTATTATGAGGAGGTAACCAAAACCAAACCTGTTACTGGCGAGTTGATTCTGACTCAAGCAACACTGCAGGGCAGAGTAGAACTCCCCCACAGTTTCGAAGGATGTAATCTTTACAGAATAGACTGCCAGATCTTTCTTCAGTAGAGCATCTGGTCGGTTCAAACTGCCAACCTTTTGGTTAGCAGATGAGCACTTAAATACTGTACCACCAGTGATCCTTTAACATAAGGTAAGCAACCTAAATAGTTTTTTATCTCCAATAGGATTTAGGGTTTTCTTATTTTATACAGGACAACTGTAGGGTGGAACGACGCAGAGTACTTTATATACATATTTCACATTTTCTACTTTATCCGAGTAGAAATGACAACTTCTTTTAGTTCCTGTATTCTTTACTAATAATAGTTTTTCCACTCTTTTCAGATAGGACTTGGTAACAAATGGATTTGGGCACACAACCAACTCTCATAACCAGATTTTATATTTGTACACTTATTCCATAGTTATTTGATAAAGATTTCCATATTTGAGTACAGAAATTTGATAATTAGGTTAATTTCTAAGTAACCACCAGTCAGTCTTGGAATAAGGATTCTACTTTCACAATTCCTTTCTGTTAAATTCTGTATCATTGTATTTGGAGGTAATTAGAGACTTCTGATCTCAGAATTACATATTTGTTTAAATAAATACCCACACAAGTTTTCATTTATACCAAGTAACTTGTTTATGTTTCTTTATACCTTCTTCATCTCAAGATGAGAAAACAACCATTTAGAGACTCATAGAAAAAAGAACAAGGAACAATTGGTTGGAGATGTCTAAGAAAATGCTGACTTGGGGGGAAATTTTACTTATTTTCCTTGAATTCTCTACCCTCCCCTATACATGCTAAACTAAGATCATGAAATTAAAAATTTTAAATTGAGGTAAAATTCCAAAATCAAACTTCAAGTCAAGTATTTTCTCCAAGAGACCTAATGTTCCTGACACCTTCTCTCTCTCTCAAATCCATGTACAACATTTTAGGAAATTAAATTTTGGAATTTCAAGACTTTACCCAAATTACTTTCATGTACCTGTCTCAACAGTGGATGACAATTCTGCCCTTACTACAATTCTTAGTGGATGTTCATATCAATAAAGACCTAGGCCACATGTCCCTTGGCTAAGAGCACATAGCTTAAATTCTGGCATTCAGTTTTCCAATGTGTATAGTGAGGATAACTGGCATTAGAAAAATTCAGTAATGCCCATTAGAAATAACTTATTGGGACAGACTCAGTAATAAAAATACCTGGTTAAAATAAAAAGAACCATCTACTTAATAACATAAATATCTTGGTAAGAATGAACAATGTGACCCAGGACAGTCTGGAAATTCTTGGGTTAATTATAACAACATAGTGATAGGTTTTTCAAGGTACTTTCTAAACTCAGCAAGCCACTGAGCTCCAACTGCTCCATCCACAACCCTATGATCACAACTGAGAGTAACAGACATCATGCTGGCCACATCAAATCTAAAAAAAGATAAAAACATAAACATTATTAGGTACTTTGAAAACAGTCATTAGATTTTAGCCAGTTAACCAGTCCAAATGCTAACTCCTACTCCATAATCTCAAACAGATAACACTGCTTTCCACCTACTGTTCATGTTCCCTACCCTCTACCTCAAATTAATAGCCTGAAGAAAGAAAACAGCCATCTAGAGCGAAGAGCAAACCACAGCCCAAGAACAAAACTGGACCTTACCTGTTTTACAAATAAAAGCTTCCTCGAATTCAGCCATGCCTGCTCATTTATGTAATACCTACACTGCTTTCATGATACAATGGCAAGCTGAGAATGTGCAACAGAAACCATGAGGCCCACAAAGCCTAAAATGTTTACTGTGTAGTTCTTTAAGAAAAAGTGTGCCGACCCCTAATCTAGAGTGACTAAGCTTCCATTCCCATATATGAATTATTTCATTTATTAAAATATGAATAGTTGCTCTGCTGAGGAACTTCATTCTATACTTATGTCTAATTCTACCTGAAGCTTCAATATACCATCCTAATAAATACCTGTAAAATAGACTCAAAAACAGGTATAATGTAATGAAAATGGGCTCACAACTCCCACCCTCTTTGGCACTCACCCTTTCTCATTATCTGCTGGAACCAGTCTATCTTCTGAAGCACCAATTGCCAAAATACATGCTTGAGGAGGATTAATAATAGCAGAGAAATTCTTAATTCCAAACATTCCTAAATTGGAGATTGTAAAAGTGCCACCCTAGAGGACAAAATGATTGTAAAAAATTAAAAGTGGATGAAATTAATTGCTTATCAACATCAATCAGAAACATATTGCAAATGTTATTCAATTTTTCTTTATTTTCAGGATCTTGTGTCAGAATACATGGCAGAATCAAAAGGTAAAAAATTCAAAAATGTATCATGTGGACTTTGAAAATAACATCATTCTTAACATTCAGAAGGTATATAAGTGATACCTTACCTGGAATTCGTGTGGTTGTAGTTTACCCTCTCGAGCTTTCGTTGCTAAAGAAACAACATCACTAGCAATAGTTTCTAGTCCTTTTATATGTGCATTAAATACAATAGGTGTGATGAGTCCTGCAGGAGTACTGACGGCAACACTGATATCAACAACATGATTTCTATTTGAAAAGAAGGAAATTTAAATAATCAACAACAATATTTATTAAGAGCCCATGTGCCAGGTTAAGGAACAATGCAGATATTTTAAAATATTTTAAGGCAAGCTTGCACGCAGCCATCTAGATGCAACGATGGGTCTCTCCTCATCCAGAGCAAAGAAGAATGAAAAAAACCAAAGACGCATGGAAACAATTAGTCCAAGGTACTGGTACACCATGTGATCCTCAGCCTATATGACTATGAGACCAGAAGAGCTAGATGGCACCTGGCTACCACTGTCAACCACTCAGAGGGGAATCTATGTAGGAGATCCTAGATAGAGTGGGAGAATAATGTGGCACAAAACTCAAAATTATTTTTAAAAAAAGGGACCAGTTTTGCTGGTCTGATAGAGCCTGGTAGAGCCTTTGAAACTATGGCCCCTGGTGCCTGGGTTACTTAATTTTTCTGTGCCTCAGCTCCTCATCTGTTAAATAGAAACAACAGTGGCACTTATTTCACAAAGTTCTCGTCACTGCTGAATTCTATGTTACCTCCTTAATGAAAATAAAACTAGACAAAGGGGGGGGATTAAAAAAAGTTCTCATGAGGATTAAATGAGGTAATGAACGTAAACTGCTTAAGCACTCATTAAATTTTAGCTGCTGTGATGATTATCATCAGACATAGCAAGGGAAAGGAATAACTAAGAACAGGTTGCATGGAATAACCAAATATCATACTAAAAGGAAAGAACTGAAAGGCACGTTCAATAACAGTGACTAACTCGGATTGGCAAGAGATTTTTCAAACTCAGTGGTGAAAAACAAAGTTTTTGAACTAAGATCAGGAATAAGACAAGGAGATACCAACATTCACTTCTGCTATTCAACATTGTGCTGTTAACTCCCAGCCATAGCAATTAGGCAAGAAAAATAAATAAAAGGCACCCACATCAGACAGTAAAACTATTCACAAATGTGGCATGATACTATACATAGACAATCACAAAGAATTGGGAGTACAAGAAGGCTACTAGAGCTAATAAATTTAGCAAAGTTGCAGGGTACAAGAAACCAATTGTGTTTCCATACTCTAGCAAAAACAATCTGAAAAGGAAATTAAGAAAGCCATTCCTTTCTAAATTAGTATTTAAAAGTATAAAACACCTAGGCATAAATTCTACCAAGATGAAAGACTTTTACTCTGAAAACTATAAAACACTGCTGAAAGAAATTAAAGGAGATCTAAATAATAAATGTATGGATTAGAAAACTTAATATTGTTAAGATGCCAATACTACCCAAAGTGATCTACAGATACAATACAAATTCCTATTAAAATTCCAACAGCCTTTTTTGTAAAAATGGAAAAGCCAGTCCTCAAAATCATATGGAATTACATGTGGCCCAAAATAGCAAAATAATCTTGAAAGAGAGGAGAAAGTAGGAAGACTCACTTCCCAATTACAAAGCTACAGTAATCAAAAATATATTATTGATATAAGGATAAACATTTAGACCAATGAAATAGAATTGAGAATCCAGAAATAAACTCATACATTTATCATCAACTGATTTTCAAGAAGTAGGCCAAGTCCATTCAATAGGGAAACCACATTCTCTTCAACAAATGGTGCTGGGACAACTGGAACTCAACATGCAAAAAGAATGATGTTGGACCCATACCTTACACCCTGTGTAAAAATTAATTAAAAAATCAATGACGTAAATGTAAGAACTAAAGTCATAAAACTTTTAGAACAACAGGATCATTAGCTATTAGAGATATGGAAATCAAAACAACAATGAGATACCATCTTGCTCCAGCACTAGTA